TTATAACAAGAAAAGATGTTGTTATAACGAGATAATTATGTCGTAATTACAAGATTTAATTATTACGAGAAAATATGTCGTTATAACAAGAAAAGATGTCGTAATAACGAGATAATTATGTCGTAATTACAAGAAAAGATGTGAATATTACGAGAAAATATGTCGTTATAACAAGATGTCATTATAATGAGATAATTAAGTCGTAATCACAAGAAAAGATGTCATTATTACGAGACAATGTGTCGTTATAACGAGAAAAGATGTTATAACGAGATAATTATGTCTTAATTACATGAAAAGATGTCGTTATTATGAGAAAAGACGTTTTTATAATAAGATAATTATGTTTTTTACAAGAAAGTATGTCATTATTAAGAGAAAAGATCTTGCTATTATGAGAAAATTTGCCATTGTAATGAGAAAAGATATTGATATAATGAGATAATTATGTTGTTATTACCAAGAAAAGATCTCATTATTACAACATAATTGGAAGGAAAAAATTATGTGTGCATGCCAGCAATGCGTCACCATAAAAACATTTTCGTTAACTGAAATAAAACAAATAATTTACAAGAAACAAAAAACTAACTTAGCAATAAAAACCTGTGAATGGTTTAATGAGTACCTGTAGATGTGTTACAGACAAGCATCAGTCAAGTGCAAGGTTATATAGAAACACTGTATAACATAAAACATGTTAGAACTTTCTTGATCTGCTAAAAAATTTTAAAATAGCCATATTTAACTGCATGACTTAATTGTGAATATGTCTTAATTCTTTATCATTTGTACAGTTATTCATTCATGTTGCATTTGCCTGGTGTCTGTAAGTCATTGTATTTACTTGGATTTACAGTTTTTACACTTGTGTGTGCACAAGAGCTTATGTAAGCTGTGCAAATATTAAACTTTGCTTTGGTCGACCCTGGATGCATTCAGGTAACTCAAACAAGAATTACTAGAAGTCAATCTGATCATATAAAAGCTAAACATGTTCACAAAATAAAAACTAAGCCAAAAATAAACATTAATGAAACGATCTGAAACAAAGAAATTTACAGAAAATACAAAAATTAAAACGTATTAAGATATTTCAGAGGCAGCACTGTGGCTCAGTGGGTAGCACTGTCGCCTCACAGCAAGAAGGTCACTGGTTCGAGTCCTGGCTGGGTCAGTTGGCATTTCTGTGTGGAGTTTGCATGCTCTCCCCTTGTTGGTTTGGGTTTCCTCCGGGTGCTCTGGTTTCCCCCACAGTCCAAACACATGCGCTATAGGTAAATTGGGTAAGCTAAAATAGCATGTGAGTGTGTATAAAATAGCACTGGGTTGTGGCTGGAAGGGCGTCTGCTGCGTAAAACATATGCTGGATAAGTTGGTGGTTCATTCCACTGTGGCACCCCTTGATGAATAAAGGGACTAAGCCGAAGGGAAATGAAAGAGTGAATATATTTCATCATATAAATAAATCTGCTATAAGGGTATTTCAGTCTTGCCTTGTCCTTCAATAGATCTATTAGCTTTATTGTTATTCCACTATTATTTTATATTCTTTAATGTAATGTGTATTTTGGGCGAAATATGGCAACCCTGATACTCTAGGCAAGGCAAGTTTATTTATATAGCACATTTCATACACAAGGGTAATCCAAAGTGCTTTTCATATACAAGAATACGAGAAACAAAAAAATGAAATGATTAAAAGAATTAAAAATGATCAAAAACAGATTAAAATGCATTAAAGCAGGTTATGAAAGAATGAAACACAAAAGAAGGATATAATAGTGCGATCTGTGGGGCGTAGCACAGTGCTCATTTAGTAAAGGCACAGCTAAACAGACAGGGGTGAACTGGAACAGCATTTTTAACCGGGAAAAGTTGTTGAAGGTCAGGCCAAAGTGAATGGGGGGTGGGGGGACGATGTTTATGAAAAGTGGGAGGGGGGGGAGATGGCAGGCCAGATAAATCGTCAGGTCACCGGGAAATGTCTCAGTGCTCTCTGTTGCCAGTCCTCCCCTGTAAACAGATGTGTTTTCAGTCTTGTTTTGAATATGTCTAATGTTGGAGCACATCTGATCATTTCTGGAAGCTGATTCCAGCAGCGTGGGGAGTATTGGCTGAAAGCCGATTCACCCTGCTTTGACTGGACTCTTGGAATTTCTAGTTTATATGATCCTAAAGATCTGTGTGATCTGTTAGGTTTGTATTCAATGAGCATATCTGTAATGTATTGAGATTCTTGGCCAGTTAGTGATTTAAAGGCAAGTAATAATACTTCACAATCTATTCTGAATGTAACTGGCAGCCAGTGTAAAGACCTGAGGACAGGTGTGATGTGCTCTGATTTTCTGGTTCTGGTCAGAATCCTGCCCGCAGCATGTTCTGGATGAGCTGCAACTGTCTGACTGTCTTTTTGGGAAGGCCAGTGTGGAGTCCGTTACAGTAATCCACCCTGCTGCTGATAAAAGCATGAACAAGCTTCTTTAAGTCCTCACTGGAAACAAAGCATCTAACTCTTGCCATGTTTTTGAGATGATAGGATGCTGATTTAGATACTGCTTTGACATGACTACTGAAACTCAGGTCTGACTCCAGAATCACACCTAGATTCTTGACCTTTTTTGTTGTTTGTCCCCCAACTTAGAGCTAAGGTGTGCTTTCACCTTTAGAACCTCATCTCTGCTCTCAAATTCAATGATCAAATATGATAGTTAGTTATAATAGTTATAAAAGTTAGTCAGGTGACCCCCCCGCCTCGACCTGTCTAACCAAATTAGTAAATACAAAAAGTGGCATATAACTGGAACATTGGTTTTAGACTACATACAGTTGAAGTCAAAAATATTAGCCCCCATTTGAATTTTTTTTCTTTGTCAAATATTTCCTAAATGATGTTTATCAGAGCAAGGAAATTTTCACAGTATGTCTGATAATATTTTTTCTTCTGGAGAAAGTCTTATTTGTTTTATTTTGGCTAGAATAAAGGCAGATTTAATTTTTTTAAACACCATTTTAAGGTCCATTTTAATTATTAGCCCCTTTAACTTTTTTTGTTTCCGATAGTCTACAGAACAAACCATCATTATTTAATGACTTGCCTAGTTACAATAACCCGCCTAGTTAACCTAATTAACCCAGCTAAGCCTTTAAATGTCACTTTAAGCTGTAAAGAAGTGTCTTGAAAAAATATCTAGTAAAATATTATGTACTGTCATCATGGCAAAGATAAAAGAAACCAGTTATTAGAAATGAGTTATTAAACTTATTATGTTTATAAATATGTTGGAAAAATCTTCTCTCCATTAAACAGAAATTAGGGAAAAAATAAACAGGGGGGCTAATTATTCAGGGGGGTTAATAATTCTGACTTTAATTGTGTTTTTGGACCAAAATTTGGGATTAGCAACATAAATTTGGATTCAAGTTCTGCATCTGAACAGGATTTCAGACCTGGAAAGCAGTGCTTAACCCACTGTGAAACGTAATCAATAGACCTCAATGGTTAATCAATGATTGACAATAGCAGCATCTGCCAGCTTTTTATCCTCAAACAGCCTTTTATGTGTGTGTATGTGTGCCTGACTAGTTAATTTATTATTACAAATCTCATCCAAAGACTTTTGTTTGATTTGATTACATAATTATTTTACTGTGTTTGGGTAGTCTAGAAGGGATACAGCTGTGGATACTCACTTCTTTTAATATAGTTTTAATTTTTGGGACACTGTACAACAATTATAATAGTTTTACAGTGCTGTGAGGGGTAGGTTTAGGGTTGGGGTGTGGGTAAGTGTAATAAAATACAATTCAATTGGTAATTTAATAAATAATATGATTAATACTCTGCATAATTACTGTTTTTACACACTGAAACACAACAATTATTATTTTTTACAATGCAGTGACGGTTGGGTTTAAGATTGTGGTAGGGTTAGACGTCAATAAAATACAATTCAATTGGTAATTTAATAAATAATACGATTAATACTCTGTATAATTACTGTTTTTACACACTGAAACACAACAATTATTATTTTTTACAATGCAGTGACGGTTGGGTTTAAGATTGTGGTAGGGTTAGACGTCAATAAAATACAATTCAATTGGTAATTTAATAAATAATACGATTAATACTCTGTATAATTACTGTTTTTACACACTGAAACACAACAATTATTATTTTTACAATGCAGTGACGGTTGGGTTTAAGATTGTGGTAGGGGTAGACATTAATAAAATACAATTTAATGAGTAATTTAATAAATAATATGATTAATACTCGGTATAATTACTGTTTTTACACACTCTACAACAATAATTATTAGTTTTACATTGCTGTAAGGGGTAGGATAAGGGTTGGTTGTGGGTGGGTGTTAATAAAATACAATTTAATGCGAAATTTAATAAATAATACGAATACTATGAGGTATAATAACTGTTTTTACAAACTGCACAACAATAACTATTATTTTTCACATTGCTGTGAGGGGTAGGTTTAGGGTTGGGTGTGGGTGGGTGTTAATAAAATACAATTTAATGAGTAATTTAATAAATTATATGATTAATACTTAGTATATTTACTGTTTTTAAACACTGTACAACATTAATTATTATGTTTACATTGCTGTATTGGTTGGGTTTATGTTTGCGGTAGAGGTAGACGTTAATAAAATACAGTTAATAGATAATTTTATAAATATATCTCGTAAACTTCCAGCTGTATCTCTTCTAGCAACAACCCTGTATTTGTGAAATCAGTTGGCGTAGTGATATGAAACTGTAGCTAATTCTGTCTAAATTTGCCTGGAACTACTTTTTCCGTTTTCCCTAAAATATTAATAATATAATCCATCAGTATTCCATCAAATAATCTTTGATATCGAATGCAATTGATTATGACTTTAATGTTCATTCGGCTTGCCATAGGAGGAGGCGTGGCCATCCTCGGTGAGTTTATAAATAGCTCTCTGCTTTATCAGTGGCTGGGGCTGCATCATCACAGTTTGCGGCCGGCTGCTATTGTGCTAGGACCATAAACATGAGGAGGACCTGAAGCAGCAGTAGACAGAAGAAGAAGACAGCAGTCTGCCCGCACTTACATCTCAGGTAAGTCTTTATATATATATATATATATAGATGCAGGACTTTATTTTTAAACAACGAAAGAACGTACGTACTCACCGGCGGAAGATTTCAAAACAGCAACAACGGTTATCATTCAGCTGACACTGCCATAAAATGTATAATATAGTTAGTATAATGGTGAATAAAAGCAGATATATGAAGGATACCGTGGTTCTCCACACTTTACTTCAATTCCAAATTTTTGACTGTCAATTTCGGTATACTGGAGTAGTAAAAACGACCTTGATATTTGTATTCTCTGGTCCTGAGGACTAGAATAACAACAGTCAGGGTAACATAAATAACGTATTTGAGCTTACTGCCATGGAAACATTTTTATTAATTATTAATGGTTTTAAGTTCACACATTTCAACTTTTTAGTTAATAATATAATCTAGGAAAAGATATATTTTTTTCAAAATCTAAACAGTGAAATCATATTAGACTATCAAAGTACATTACAGTCAATTAAATAGCTCTAATGTTGTTTTAAAAAGATACTTGCAATCTATTTCAGACCCAATATTCAAAGTAGCTTTGCTAAACAAAATAAAGAAGTCATAGTTAAAAAATAAACTAAAATGCGAATATAAAACCAGCTTTACCTCAATTTATTAATTTAGTCTACTTTAACTTGATAAACTTAAACCACAACTAAAATTAAAGATATGAATAATTAATATATATATATATATATATATATTGTTCAAAATTCAGCCTGATTTGTTTAGTGAGTTTAATATAATAAGTAATTGAAATGACTTGTACCATTAGTTTGGTTTCATTTTTTAATGCCCCTACTCATTTAAACAATTTACAGTTCTGCCAATTTTTTTAAAAGTGTTTAAACATGCAACAATTAGATGCTGGTACAGAATGTACACCATAATAAACCAGAGGCTTGTTGATGATTTTGCCTTATAAACCTTAGGAGAGCCTGTATTTACTTTTCATAAGCAGTTTTTCGTTCTTTATTCAGTTTGATGGTTTCTTTTCATGTATTACATGTGAGGGAACAAGTCTAGGATTAAAGTAAGTGTTCAGCAAATAAACTTTTTGTATGCAATTATATACAATTATTACCAGGACATTCACCAAACAGACAATTGCTGGTTGACTTAAAAGTTGATTTGAATTGAACTTATGAGTCATTTTAAATTACATGAAAGTGATTTAAAGCTGCTTTAAAATAAGCTTAAGCATGATTAACCAATAGTTTAAAACATGTTATCATGATCTATTACTTAACAATAAAGCCGGAAGATTTTATTGCTATATGTCATCTGATGTATTTTTTGAATGTTCTGGATTGGATTATGGGTTTAATAAGACTTTAAATTACAGTTATATTGTATTTAAAACTATTATATTTGCTATAATATGATATTGCAATTAAATCTTAAATTAATTTATTTATTATCTTTATTGTAATATTATTTTCTTACATTTCTGTATATTATATAATAAATAAATGCAGTAAAAAAGATTTTTTTAAACTTATTTAAAAATAAATAAGTAAATTAATAAATATATTTAAAAAATGAATGCATAAATAAATTAATAAATACATATTTATTTATTATCTTTATTCTAGTAATATTAATTCCTTATTAATAAATTTTTTATATCATATAGTAAATAAATGCAGTAACAAATAAATAAATAAATGAATAAATATATTTAAAAAATAAATGCATAAATAAATTAATATATACATATTTATTTATTTATTATCTTTATTCTAATAATATTAATTCCTTATTAATAAATTTTTTTTATATTATATAGTAAATAAATGCAGTAACAAATAAATAAATAAATGAATAAATATATTTAAAAAATAAATGCATAAATAAATTAATATATACATATTTATTTATTTATTATCTTTATTCTAATAATATTAATTCCTTATTAATATTTTTTTATATTATATAGTAAATAAATGCAGTAACAAATAAATAAAATAACTAAACTTATTAAAAAATAAATAAATGCTTTAATACAATATTTGTAAAATAAATAAATAAATGCATACATAAATTAAGTTGTGTATTTTTTTATCTTTATTATAATAATGTAATTTTTTTATATTTATTTTTCTTTATATTATATAATAAAAATAAATGCAGTAATAAACAATAAAAATAAAATAAAACATTAAAAATAAATAAATGCTTAAATATCATATTTTAAATAAATGCATAAATAAATAAATGTGTTAATTCATCGTTTTTATTGTAATAATGTAAATTTCTTACATTTAATTTTCTTTGTTATTCAATAAATAAATGCTGCGATAAACAAATAAAATAACTCATTTAAAAAATAAATAAATGCTTAAATATAATGTTTTTAAAAATAAATAAATGCACAAATAAATAAATGCATAAATAAATACATACACAAATAAATAAATGCAAAAATAAATAAATATAAATATAAAAACAAATAATTTAATTTAAGTTTAAAATAATAAAATATAAATATGTTAAGAAAAAATATACAGAAAAAAATACATGCAGAAATATAATAAGAGGAGTGAGTCATATGTTTTGAGGTCATAGGGGTTTAATGGTTGTTTTATTACATCACACTGAGAAAACAAGTGTAGGACACAGGGCTGTAATGAACTGTGCTGTAATATGAGTATGTTGGTCTGCTGTTGACTCAATGGGAATGAAGGCCTGGCTCGGGCACTGATCGCAGCAGTGGATCAGGCATTGTGGGTCATGTGTTGACGCACAAGATCGCATGATTTCTGGCACTTGCTTAATATTTCCATTGTGACCCATCCATAGTTCCTTTATTATTTGTTTTGTTTTTGATTCTTAATGCGGTCACTAGCTTTTTTTTATTTATCTACTAGATTAAATTGAGTGTTTAGCAGCTGGAGTTTATATAAAATATTATTGCATACGAAAAGAATGGGATCATCGATGAAATAATAAACGGTTATAAGAAATACAGACGTACAGTGGGTACAGAAAGTATTCAGACCCCTTTATAAACATTTAAAAAAAAAATGGTTCCCATGCCAGACTTTTAGTTTGCCAACTTTTCTTTTGCTTTTAACACAACTCAACCACACATTTTATTAGTAGACTTCTTGAACAGTTTGACCTTAGTAATAACCTGGTGGGCTGGATGCTTAACTTTTAAACTAATCGAACGCAAAGTGTTAGGGAATGGATGCTTATCTGATAAAGTTGTTTCACCTCTGATATACATCCTTTACACAAATATGTGCCAGAGTAGGTGGGGAAATAGAACCACTATCATGCAGATGACACTGCCATTGTCAGCCAACTTTATGATAATGAAACCGGTCATGGTCCAGTACTTACTGATTTTGTCAGATGGTATGAGGAGTCATATCTTCAGTTAAATGTATTAAAGACAAAAGATATGATAATCGGGTGGCACAGTGGGTAGCAGGATCGCCTCACAGCAAGAAGGTCACTGGTTCGAGCATCGGCTGGGTCAGTTGACATTTCAGTGTGGAGTTTGGATGATCTCCCAGTGCTGGTGTAAAGATTGCAGACGTCAACGACCGGAGTGAGAGGTGCTAGTAATGCACCAAAAATTAGTTTTTCGACCATGATAAAACACGAAGAAGAGGAATTCTCCATTCTTGCTATTGGATTTACTTTAATCACCAGACACAGGCTTCACAGCTCCGTGAATGGCAGTGGCATCACTTAATGATCTGGGATCAGTAAATGTAGCTTGTGTGGACGCTTCTGCGCTACTTGCTTAAAATAATAGCTTCGCTACTGAAAAACTATTTGATTTATAAAGTAGGGACGCTACCGACATGCTGCTGAGAAATGTAGTTAAGCTAGTAGCATCTCTACTTGTAGCGACGCTACTGCCAAACACTGCATATAACCATAGACGCTGGAAAGAAAGATACATTTTGGGTGAACTATCCCACTAGTTAAACTCTGTACCGGGTCCGTGACGTCATCAACTTTCGCTTTAAGATTTAAAGGGCTAGCATTGCTCCAGACCCCCTTAAGTGGTTTCGCTTGAAAGTGTAGAATCTATATTTTATGCACATATGCATCACTTTGGTTTTTATTCTACTGTACAAAATTTATTTACACTTAAATACACAGTATTTTGCATACCCGAGCTGGGTATTTTACATTGGTTCATTTTCATATGGTTCATATTTGACAGATGTAAAAGTTATAGCTCAAATGAAAGCTCTTGCCGGTGCTCATACAGTTCTAGCATTTTTTTTACTGAATTATATTCATATGCCAAACAGTTGTTGAATGAATCACGGTGTTTCCATGGCGCAGAAGTGAAAACAATACATTTATGATCAATAAGCAGCCCCAGATAGCACAGACAGCTGTCATCTCTTACCTTATGCTGTGTGCTTCAGAGCCATTTCTCCTCTGTTTTTGAGGTGATGTGCATAAGTAATCCTTTTATATGTCTGATGTGGTCCAAACACAGTGAATTATGTTTGATCAAACAAAAGAATAGTTAAATATGTAAACAATGATCGGTCCCTGTGGCTTGTACAGCACCTCTCATCAGTTGGAATACGATAACTTTTGCATAGATTATGGTAGAGACATTTTTCTTTTTTCCTATGATTGCAGACATGTACAGGAACCATCAAAATTAATTACAGCACGCTAGACCACACAGAACCTAAAAGGTACACTTTCAAATTTGAGTTTATAAAAAAAAATACAAAAAGCGCCTCTTTTTTTAGGTGTTTATTATAACATAGACAACATATACAGTTATTTTAAACACTTTCAATAGTGTTTTATGAAAAATCAAAGAGTTTTCTTTAGAATGTTTTTGCAAATTTTTGCATTTACACCTCTGCATGTGGATTTGGGAAGCTTTTAAATTTGGGTATACAAAATCCAGGCGGAAATCCTAAAATAACAGCAGAGTTTAACTGGTTTAAGGTCACATGAAATGAAAATAAAAAAAGATGTTTTCATATGTGAGTTTATCTATTAGCTAATGGAACACCTGCAATCTGCATGTAGAAAATAAAAAACCCAATATAAACACCCAAAGCTTGCAGTTTAACACTTCTGGCTAAATGGATCAGCTTCTTTTTTTTTATTTTTTTTTAAAACATCACCTCATGCTTCAGTTTTTCGTCAAATCTTGACCAATTAAATGCTCTCTAGTATCTGAAATCATCTGCTCCCTTCAAGGTTCCTTTCATTTCATTTGAGCTGCCAGAGCTGTGATAAAAACGAAACGCTATTGGCTGTTTTTAAAAAGGACAGGAGCTACTCTGTCATAGTGGCATGGTGGCTCAGTGCTTAGCACTGTCGCCTTACAGCAAGAAGGTCACTAGTTCAAGTCCCAGATGGGTCAATTTCTGAGTGGAGTTTGCTTGTTCTCCCTGTGACGTGTTTGCGTGGGTTTTTTCTAGGTGCTCCGGTTTCCCCCATAGTCCAAAGACATGCGCAATAGGTGAATTGGATGAACTAAATTGGTCGTAGTGAATGAGTGTATGTGAATGTTTGTGTATGGATGTTTCCTAGTACTGGGTTGCAGCTGGAAGGGCATCAGCTGCTTAAAACGTATGTCAGAATAGTTGGTGGTTCATTCCGCTGTGGAGACCCCTGATAAATAAGGGACTAAGCTGAAGGAAAATGAATAAATGAATCAAAACACTTCATGGACCTTAAAACATTTAATTTAATTTAAGTTGCATGTTAGTTTGTATTATAGAACTACAGAAGTATTCTGAATCTGTGTGCTGTTATTTTGCAGATTGAGAATGTCGAGGTACTCGAGAGACCCACCGGATGGTGGTTATGGCTGGGTTGTGGTTGCATCGGCTTTCTTCATCATGGGACTAACCGCTGCGGTGCTGAAAAACTTTGGCTTGTTTTTCCTAGAACTCCAAAACTACTACAGTGTCCTCACCAGCACTACCTCATTGATGACCTCCACCACCATTGCAGTGTTTCATCTGGGATGTAAGGAGTGTCTTTTTTTCTGCATGGATTATTTATTTGATTTTTACAACAATTAAACAAACAAGAATAAAAGAGAAAAATCTGAAAGGAAAAAAATAAAATAACAGTAGAAGGTCATAAAATTCATAGACATTATAGCAACACTTCACAATAAGATTGTATTAGTTAATTACTAATTACTATATATATATATATACACACACACACACACACACACACACACATCCATACATACATACATATATACATACATGCATACATATATATATACACATATACACACACACACACACACACACACACATATATATATATATATATATATATATATATAATTTATATATATGTGTGTGTGTGTGTGTGTGTGTGTATATATGTATGTATATATGTATGAATATGTGTGTGTGTGTGTGTGTGTGTGTGTGTGTGTATATATGTATGTATGTATGTATGTATATATGTATGAATGTGTGTGTGTATATATATATATATATATATATGTATGTATGTATAATATATATATATAATGTATGTATGTATCCATATACAAATTTTATATTCATTTTAATTTCTATGTAACAAAGTAGTTTTGTGTTGTTTAGTTTTTATGTATGTACAGTTGAAGTCAGAGTTATTAGCCAACATGTCCACATTGAAATGTAAACTAAATATATAGTTAAATAAATAGTATATGCGTGTATAAATAGTGTTGTTGTTCCACAATTATTGTTAATTATTAAGATTATTTTGGGACTCTTCAGCTCCTCTGGCCAGTGCTCTCAGCATGCATCTGTCTCAACGGCCTGTTATTATGGTCGGAGGACTTCTGGCTGCCTCAGGAATGATCATCGCCTCTTTGGGCCTCAGTCTGCCTTGGATGTATCTGTCTGTGGGTGTAATTCAAGGTAAGCTTAAGCTTTTAAGATTTTAACCCGCTATTTAAAAAACTGCTGTATTTAAAAAAAGCTGTAATAGCCGTGGCGGGTTGAATTTTGGTGTGGCGCCCCGCCACGGAAGAATGAATGTAGCGGAAACCATGGAATAGCCCTAGACTATTGTGATCGATGATTGGCTCCTGTGCTAGAAGGCGGGGCTTTATTTGCCATACTTATTGTTACAGATTTCCCCATTCAAAACAATACAAGTGACATGTTTTGTGTATTCTATGATCTTTGGGAGAAGTAACAGTTATAACTGGCCCTTTGAGGGCTACCATTATGCTGAGGTGGCCACAGTGAAAATGAGTTTGACAGCCCTGCTCTAAACAATCAGTATTAAGCTGGAATTATACTCGCGCCTGGCGCCGCCTCGCGCACCTCCGCTGACTGCGCGCCCACCTTGCGAAACGGCCGAGGCTTTTATACTCTGTCATAACTACGTCATATCATAATATAGTTCAACATTTCAACTATTGATTTTGTATTGTTTTTATACATTATTTTAATAATTATAAGTATTTTTATAACAATTCAAGATTTTTGTTTATCAAATCGCTTGCTTTTGTTCATATCTCGGCCAGTTTTACCATTTAACGTTTATAATAATATTAATCACAAGAGAACATGAGTTGCTTTACAAATATATTTTTATTATGGCAAGAATAGAAGCAAAAAAAGAAAAGATTTTTTTAGAAAAAGATACTTTTTCAGATTTAGCCCCCTCCACAAATATATAAATCAGTGTTACCGGTGGAAAAACATATTCTGTATTTGTAATTAATGACAACAGAACATGAGTTACTCTACAAATATATGTTTTATTATCGCAAAAAAAGCACACTTACTAAAAAATACAGATTTATTTTAGATTTAGCCCGCTCCACAATTCACACATTATTGTCAGGCTGGTGTCTGTCCTCTTCTTATGCTAAAAAGGCAGTGATGGTCCAACATTACAGATCATTATCACCAATAAAGGCCAGAGAAACAGGGCATCAGTATATTGTAAATCGATAGCGATAGGTTTAAATATTCCTTAGTTATCAAAGAAATACTTCTGTGACTTCATTAGTTTTGTAACTATTAAACTGTTTTAAATTCAAAATTAAACAAAATACATCAGTGTAAAACCTATAAATGGTGGAAAAACATATTCTGTGAATTTATTCTTCAGGTTTTTATAAACCTTTTAACAAAAACTTTCTCCTTTCCCACGGCTGTTGCTATTTCTAGCCAAGAATTATTGATCATTAGGTTATCTCTCTGATCACGGGTCATTAGATGTGTGTACAGTCGTACTGTTTCAGACAAAATCTCTTCAAAGTGTATCATATTCTACTCAAATCAGTTGCGGCGCCGCGCTCACTCTTCGCTCGAGTCTCAATAAATGCCCGACGCACCGCCAGCCAAAATCATGCCACGTGCACCCAAAGCGAACCTCCAAAAACTCCGCGATGAGGTCACATTTGCCGCGCGCACTTAAGCGAACAAGTGGACGCATCGAGTATAAACAAGGCTTCAGGTGAAATATTCATATATAAACATTTAACCAAACAGCTTCTTCATTTGATTTATTTCTCTTTTTTGTCTAACCTAGGACTGGGGGTCTCATTTACTTGGGTTCCAGCAAACAGCATGGTCAACCACTATTTCAAGCGCTGGCGTCCCATCGCCTGCGCCATCTCTAGTTCAGGAGAGTGCGTCTTTGGCATGGCCTTCAGCCCGTTTTTCCAGTGGCTCATTGAAAGCTACTCCTGGCGGGGCGCTCTTCTGGTCATCGGCGGTCTCCAGCTCAATCTGATTGTTTGTGGCGCTCTGATGAAGCCCCTTCAACCTGTACAAACCTGCAGGAAAGCTGTGCTGGACTCAAAAGAGGAAACCAGGACATCCAAAAAAGTAACTTTCCAATGTTCTCTCATTCAGAGGCCTGAGCTGCTGCTTTATATTGTGTTCGCCATCTTTGCTGCCGCGGGTTTTTTCATCCCGCCGTTGTTCCTGGTGCCGTATGTCAACAATTTAGGCATGGATCAATACTGGGCTGCCTCTCTTTTGTCAGTGCTGTCATTGGCAGATCTGTTGGGCAGGCTGGGATGTGGCTGGCTGGCTAATCTGTGCCTTTTGCGAAACCTCCAGTTGTTGACTATGGTTGCGACGGCTATGGGAGTGGTGTTGCTCCTGCTGCCCATCGCGTACGGCTACTGGAGCGTACTGGTATTTACATCGCTCTATGGTTTTTTGTTTGGCTGTGTGGTGGCCATTCATGTGACCAGTATTGTGGATATCGTTGGACTGGAGGGTTTTGACAGCGCTCTAGGACTCTTCATGCTGTTACGGAGCATTGGAGGATTTCTGGGTCCACCTGCTGCAGGTCAGTGCTTGCGTTTTGCCAGAAAGTTTTAATTCTGTCATTAATTGTTTGCCTTCATCATGTTAGGGCTGCACAATGTATCGTTTCAGCATTGATATCGCAATGTGCATATTCGCAATAGTCACATTTCAAGATATGCAATGTTGAGTCAGAGTTATAGTTGACCAGGAGATAGAGAATTGTTTTTAATTGCTGTAAAAAAATATATGGCTCTATATTAGCGCTGGTGGGAGGCGTGCGTTGGCTCAAGGCCACAGGCCAAGTGACTTCATGCTCCAGCAGTGCCGATATACAGCCATAATGCACTGCTATGAGTGTAATATTGTGTTTATACAACAGTTCGACGGCATAATCGTATATATAAAAAAGAAAATCAAACATGGAGAGTCTGAAAACCCTTTTGTAAGAGGAACTACTTCATTCCGCCATTCATTCACATCTGCAGCTGACGTAAGAACAGCAGAAACCATTGCCAGTTCACCAACGTCACTTTAGAGCTAGTATTTGAATGATTCTCCAGCGTAATATCTAGATTGCTGAAGAGCGTGTGTTTGTGTGCATGGAAATGTATTATCCTCCCTCCCTGTTAAATCTGATCTAATCCATGTTTTTTTGTTCAATTCACCTTTATTTGTATTGCACTTTTACAATGTAGATTGTGTCAAAGCAGCTTCACATAGAAGATCATAGTAAATTGAAACCGTGTCGGTCCAGTTTTCAGAGTTTAAGTTCAGTTGAGCTCAGTTCAGTGTGGTTTAATAATCACTACTGAGAGTCCAAACACTGAAGAGCAAATCCATCGATGCGCAGCTCCACAAGTCCTAAAACATGAAAGTTAGTGGCGTCAGCGCCAAGTTTATATTGTTAACGAAAACTAACGAAAAACTAAAATGTAAAATAATTGTCGTTAACTGAAATAAAAGTAAAAACGAGAGTTTTTTTCAAAAACTAGAAATAACTGAAACTTTATTGTGTACATATACAAAACTAACTGAAACTAACTAAAATGATAGCAAAAACCTCCTTCGTTTTTGTATTTGCAAATGTATTTAATACATCTTACTGTAAGCCTTTTAGAAGTAAATATAATCCGCGCTGCAGGTGTTTGTGTTTGACCCTTTCGCACCTCAGAGTCTCCTGCCGCCATTGGCCAGATCGAGCCGACTCTCCTCCAGTCATCCTCGCTGTTGCTCCCGCGACAAAAACAATTAGTGGACATGACAGCAGCACAGCGACAGCATTAAATAAAGACACTTAAAATTATTACTTTAACACGTTTGTGCCCAATAATGGGTTTTATTTCTGTATCGCGATCACGAACGAATTTTTTTAACCGGATCTTCTAAGTGAACCGGTTGAACTAGTTCACCAAATCGAACGGAATAATTTGTAACGATTTGCGTCTCCATTAAGCACTTATTCACCAACTACTTACTTTATAACAAGGAAAAAGGAAAAAACTTCACCAATTGGCGAAAGTGAGGAATTAAAAAACCTTAAGAGAAACCAGGCTCAGTTGGGCACGACCATTTCTCCTTTGGCCAAACGTCTTGTGCAGAGCTGCAGTCTAGGCGCTGGAGAAGCTGGATGTTAGCGAGACTCATTAGTCCCCGGAGCGTCACAGGAATCAGTCTCATGCGCTACACTCCTCCATGACCACCACAGCAACTGCTAAGGATACGGCCTGGTCCAGGATTATGGAAACCTTGGGATCATTTCGTCGCTGGTCTTGGATCAAATCAGTGGCACTGCATAGTCTCTGAGGGCCTCGGGATGAGTATCCTCAGGTGGAAATAGGGCATAAAGAGAATAATTAGTGTAGCTGCTGTTCATTAGTGTAGCTGCTGTCCAGGAGGGCCGGTGTCCCTGCAGGGTTTAGCTCCAACTTGCCTCAACACACCTGCCTGGGTGTTTCGAGTATACATAGTAAGACCTTGATTAGCTTGTTCAGGTGTGTTTAATTAGAGTTGGAGCTAAAATCTGCAGGACACCAGCCCTCCAGGAACAAGTTTGGTGACCATAGACAATAATGGATAAGCAGCATAGACTGTAAAATATATGGACGTAGTGTCCGTGACGTCACCCGTAGGTTTCTAAAGAGCGCAAAAGAAGCCACAAGTAGGCGCGGCCAACCGTCGCCTTTTTGTTTGCGCGTCATCACACCCACGGCAGGATACCAAACAAGGGCAAAGAGGCGCAGAGTGAGCGGAGCTACAGACACCTGCTGGCATTTAGCTTGGACCTGGTTCAGACACACTTAACTTTGGGAAAATACTTTATCACCTGTGACTCGTTTGTGTTCTGACCACTTGTGCTTGGTTGTACACTATATCAATAAAGTGTTTAGACTTTTAAAAACACTGCTGTAATACATTGAGCCACTAAACATTGTTCTTATGACGTTTTTCAACAGGAGGAAAACGCGAATTACTTCCAAACACTTCAGATATAGTCTGTGTTAGTTAATGTAAGACTATTGATGAAATCCAGCATAACACTGTATGACAATGCTTCAGATGACTGTTCTAGAGCCTACAGCTAATCAATCTGACAGATTCTGGAGTGCATTACAGCTCTAAATATAAATATAAATGCTCTTAAATAAAACAAATACATGTATAGAGATGGTATATAAGTAAGTATATAACTTTACTCACATGGGAAACGGAGGCCACGTGAATGGTTTGTGAGCACAATTAAGTGCACTCAGCATGACATTCTATCTAATAATTGTAGGAAACAAGTCCAAAAGGCAGTTGAGTGTGTAAAGCCACATAAAACAGCACAGAAATACGATAAATATGCCGAGTTCAGTGGCTAATCTGCAGGATTCAGCTGAGGTGACGTGACGGCGACCAACGAGACCTAGCTGTCACTCAAGTGACCACGCCCTTAATTATGCAAACTTAATATAACTTAATATAAAGGAAACGGATGAGTTATAAAAAAATTCACCCCCTCACAGTTGTCATGAAGGGTAATATTAGCTGTATGAACCAAAATCTTTTTTTGTACCAGGCTGTAAACACCTTTTCTTCTGCTGTAAAGTTGGCCATTCTAACAGTGGGCTCAATTGAAATTTGCTCTGTTTTGGAGCCAGGAGCGGCCAGGACTAGCGGAATTTCGGATGAATTGCAGTTTTAGTTTCTTCCGTATTGGCTTCCTCAGGGAGAGCGGGAGGTTGCCGCTTGATAAGCAGGAAAGCACGGGGTAAAAGAGATTAAGTGCTTCCATGTTTGGAGCACCTAAATAATGGCTTTTATTGTTTGTTCAGACAACTGTAGGGGTAATTTACAGTTTTAACCCAAAGAATGACCAGTCTGTCGGGTGAAGAAGGTCAGAGACAGAGATTCAAATAAATAAATCAAGTTTACTGAAGATAGTTTGCAGTTTCATCAGCCGAAGCCAGCTTTAACACTCGCAATGAGTTCCCAGGCCGCTTTGCTTACAATCACAAATCAATAACAATTATACTCTCACATAACGTCATTAACTGCGTCACCACTTTAAACATTTTAGATCAGTGGTTCTCAAACTGTGGTACGTGTACCACTAGTGGTACGCAGGCTTCCTTCTAGTGGTACGCGGAGGAATAAAATATGTCATGTATATGCTACATATTTCAAAATTTAGCAAAAAATATGTATATAATATTCCATATATGACTTTTAGCCTATATTTCTGAGGTAATCTGCCACGTTTTTTTAACTGTGCAGAGTTGTAGCTGCTTTACTGGGCCTACTACGCTACTTTATTTCAATACTGCTCATTTTGGTGGTACTTGGGGAGATAATTTTTTTTTCTGAGGTGGTACTTCATGAAAAAAATTCGAGAACCACTGTTTTAGATAGTATTAACTCATAGAAATAACAATAGAAACGGTAGTTTTCCAGTCTTCAGCCCTTCAGTAGAAAATAGTTGCAAATAGCCTGAAAATAGTTACAAAGAGACAGGCAAATTTCACTGAACATACTTATATTAAGCAATGTGTTAACTTATTCATTATTCAATAATCATCTTCATAAAAATAATGAGAAACGGGATGATGAGAAAAGGATAAACGTTGATCCATGTTGAGACGGATTGGAAGGTATAAATCCGAATCCCTCAGTACTTATTTATAATGAGGTAAAACAACACCTTTCTGACGTTTTCTAAAGTCTTTTTGTGACAACTTAATTGCTTTAAGTTCCATCCATTTAAATCTTTTAAAAATCAAGTTAACCTAATTGATTTGTGTTAGGACAGCATGAAGGAATTGTGTGGAAGCCTGCATATTTTCTGTGTTGACGTCAGTTTGATGCTTCAGCCACAATATTCTAAGCCACGCCTCTCTAACCATTAGTTTGCTATGAGGGTATGATGCTCAAAAAGAAAGCCCCGCCCCCTACTCAATATTCCATTTCAGTTGTAAGTACATTAACACACTGAAATAAAAGTCTCAGTAACTTCTGGTTCACGCAGGTCAACTCCAGTCACCACAAACACAGTTAGTGCGCTATATGTCAGCGCTCTGAGGCTACAGTAACTGAAAAAGTTTATTCAGTGTGTGTTTTAGGCAGGATGATATGGAGACCTGGCTAACAGCAGGTGTTTTCAGTGTTCCCGCTGGCTCTCTGTTTACCGTCTCATGTTTCTCTTGTGTATCTGTGCGTCAGGCTGGCTGGTGGACTGGACTCACAACTTCGGTGCTGCTTTCTACTTGTCTGGCATCTGTCTGCTCCTGTCTGGGTGTTTCGTGGTGCTCGTGGACTGGCTGGTGGAGAAGAAAAAGAAGAAGAAGCTCCAGGAAACACTTCAAGATCCATGCACTGAGACTACAGATCTCAAAGCAGATGTTTAAAAGCCAGGGAGGATTTTTTACCAGTGTTTTATTATTTCATTATATGAATTTTTGTCTATTTAAAGCCATATTTTATGAAAGCCATTGTTTTTATCTTTTAATAAAAGCAACAAGGATATAAGTACCTCAATTCTCCGCACATAACTTCACTGGATTTATTTTAAGATTGATCATATACAGTGAGACGTGCCTGATTTCACTCAAGAAGCTGTTCATTATTTCATTATCAAGATATTACAGAACAAGAATCAACCCAGGCTTATTGGAAATACATGCTTCAGCCTATATATTTGTGAAGTGTGAAATACATTGCTCCGGGTCTGTTTTGTTGCACATTTAAGATGACAAATCCACTAGAGGGCGCTGTTTACTTTTTTGCTCATCTGAAATGCATTACTTGACATACGTTTTGTTGTAGCTGTGTCTCGTTTCAGCGGTTGCATCCTCCGAAGGATGCAGACTTCCAAGCAGAGGCGTTGCTAGACATAAAGCTGTACTGGGGCAACCCCCCTTTATAAAAAAATAATTAATTAATTAAAATAAAACCAATAAATAATCATATATATATGCACAAAATTATTTATTATAAATTTATAAAATAAATAAAAAGTATTATCGTTATACAGTTATTATTCTAAATAATTAATCCTAAATGTAACTGGAAAATAATAATTGAAGAAATCTTATGAATATTAATTTAATTTGAATTAAATTCTATAGAATACACGCATTTAACAGAATTATCTGTTGTCTTGGACTTGACACATGGCAGAGAATTAGGTTTATTAAGTTTTACCTGCCGATGTAACCCCGCCAGTCCTACACCACCCAACCCACTTCGAGCTGGTATCAAACCAGCAACCCTCCGCATGGGAGTCGGTTGCTCTACCAAAGAGGCCAAAGACCATAGCCTCTAGTGTCTGTCGTAAGAGCACCTTTAGAGGTCAGAGGAGTGAGGGTTACCTGCACAGCAATGACTAATTGGCCTTTGTTACACCGACACCTCGATAAAGGCCATAAAGGCTTGATTAGCCTAACCATAAAGGCTGTTAATGTCGGTCTCACAACACATCAGCAGTGGGTATTTTTTGCGGCGTGCATGTTAACAACAGGGACTTGTACCAGGAGAGAAGCAGCACATCAGAGTCCAGCAGGAATGGTGTGTGAGGCGCGGGTATGGTTTTTTCTGCACGCATTCTGAGATGCATCAGTTTGCTTTTATATTAAACTACATTGCTTTCACTAGCGTTGGTTTGGTTGAACATAGAGAATAACGTCTTTATTCCGGGATTACCACTCTTAATAAATACATTTGCATATGAAGTAAATCATATCTAAGAGCATTAACTGGGGCACTAGCGATTTTTACTGGGGCATGTGTCCTAGTAAATTGAGTCTAGTGACGCCCCTGATTCCAACGTGAGTCCTTTAAAGTCCAGACAGGCTGAACCGAGCGTTTTGAAATGAAACAATCTAATCGACAGAGGACAGATGTCGTCACCAAGCAATCATCACAGCTGCTGTTAATAAGCAGTATTAAAATTTGTAATATTTTTTTCACAAAGTGATTTTAAAAGTTTAACTATCTAAAGGCAAAACCAGTTTTACAAAAGCTTGACCCACACATGTACACTTAAAAATGTAAACTGTCTATAAAATAACATTAGTAAGACATGTCATACTTTTGGGCCTCACAATGGCGCAGTGGGTAGCACGATCGCCTCACAGCAAAAAGTTGCCTTGGAATCTTGGACGTCCGAGGTAGCGAAGAATCCAACAGTTGTATCCTTCAGTACCTGAGAAACGAAAGACTCCTTTTGAGGCTGCATTTGAAGGAGCCTATGATTTTATTTATTTATTTATTTTAAATGAGACTGCCTTCATCATGGTGTGATGACGCAGCGCTCTTCGAATGCATCTTTCGGAGGATGCAAAATGGGGAAGTGCGCCTGTTTTCGCGATTGTCTTAGAACTTCCGATTCAGTCGCCTATAGGAGAAATGACTAGGAATAATAAACGGCAGAAAACAGTCAAACTACTTGCTCTACAAACAAATGTTTGCATGACTATACAGACCAAGTAGAATAATATAATAAGAAAATATCAAATTGCAACATCAAGCAGCGTAACGAGTAGTTTTTAACGTCAAAAAATGAATGGAAGTGAATGAGACCGGAAGTTGCGAGTCAAATGGCAGTGCCCGCTCGTCGGCGGAGAATAAGGTGAATAGTTATATAAAATACAAGGTGAGCTACAGAGCAAACTGACCAAGCCAAAAATGAGTCTATATGGAGATCGATTAGGCAAACATTCATTCATTCTTTTTCTTTTTGGCTTAGTCCCTTTATTATTCAGCGGAATGAACCGCCAACTTATCTAGCATATGTTTTTTTATGCAGCGGATGCCCTTCCAGCCACAACCCAACACCGGGGAACACCCTTACACTCTTTTATTCACACACATACACTACAGCCAATTTAGCTTTTTCAATTCACCTATACCGCATGTCTTTGGACTGTGGGGGAAACCCACCCTAACGTGGGGAGAGCATGCAAACTTCACACAGAAATGCCAACTGGCACAGCTGGGGCTCGAACCAGAGACTTTCTTGATGTGAGGCGATTGTGCTACCCACTTTGTCACCATGCATATATTATAACATACATATTCCATCACAAATCAGAGACATCATAAAGTTGTTTTGTGGTATTTATTTGATGTTGTGCAAAGAACTGCATGAAACTAATCCTTCATTCGTTGATAACACGTCCCTGTGAATATCATTAATGTAAAAATGAACAAAAGTTGTCATACTGCCCTCTAGTGTTCACTTTACATGTTAACTACAGTCAAACATAGGTAAGTTTTTGCGATTTCACTAAACTGTTGGCTCAAGCACATATTTCCACAGATCCTGTGTTGACTAAGATTGTATTACAGAACAATTATTCAGTGATTTTATTTTACAGTATCTACAAGGAATATATCATTTATTTAGAAACAGAATTTGTCTTTTAGATTGTATAAAAGCTACGTACAGTGGCTCCAAATAGTGCCATCTGTAAACCTCATCACTTCTGCTGTCAGACCTCGGGGTGACTTAAATGTTTATTTTATTTTTTTCAAATGAAATAATTGTATTTTTATCAAATATTTTTGTGAAAAAGTGCACTTGTAATTAAATTAAATCTCACATATAGTTTTTTATATATTGTTTACAGTGTTATTTTAATGTTATTGATATAGTCATCATTTATTTTCATCCACTTATCCGGGACCGAGTCACGGGGGCAGCAGAATTCGCTCTCCCAAGAAACTTCCTTCATCTCTTCCGGGAGGATCCTGAGGTGTTCCCAGGCCAGCCGAGAGACATAGTCCCTCCAGCGTGTCCTGGGTCTTCCCTGAGGCCTCCTTCCGGTGGGACATGCCTGGAACACCTCCCTAGCTAGGCGTCCAGATGCCCGAGCCACCTCAGCTGACTTCTCGATGTGGAGGAGCGGCGGCTCTACTCTGAGCTCCTCCCGGGTGACAGAGTTCCACACCCAATCTATAAGAGTGCGCCCTGCCACCCTGCGAAGGAAACCCATTTCGGCCACTTGTATCTAAGATCTTGTCCTTTTGGTCATGACCCAAAGTTCATGACCATCGGTGAGAGTAGGAACGTAGATTAACCGGTAAATCGAGAGCATTGCTTTTTGGCTCAGCTCCTTCTTTACCACAACAGGCCCCGATCCACCTGTCAATCTCACGTTCCATCCTTCCCTCACCCGTGAACCCCAAGATTCCTGGACTCCTCCACCTGGGGTAAGGACTTTAAGTCCTGGAGGGCCAGGTTATTGATATAAATGATGTTTTATTTTGACACTTTCTGTTTTAGTTTTAGTATTTGATTTGATCATTTTAAGTTTTAATTAATATGTTGAATAAACCTGATTTATTCCAGTTATGCAGTGTTTCTCAACCACGTTCCTGGAGGACCACCAACACTGCGTGTTTTGTATGTCTTCTATGTCTGTCACACCCATTTCAGCTCTTTCAGTCTCGCTAATGAGCTGATGATCTGATTCAGGTGTGTTTGGCTTTGGAGACACGGAAAATGGGCAGAGCTTGTGGTCCTCCAGGAATGTGGTTGAGAAATACTGCAGTTATGAAATCCAATTGGAAGTAATTTATTGAACTACAATTAATGATGAGTAGCTAAAATATATAGATATTTTTAGCTGTTAAAATTATTTCTTTTATTTTAACGCTAATTACTAACTGATGGAAATGTCTGAATGTTTTTGGGGCCACGCAATATGCAACAAAATCGTTAGATTAGCTCACAGATTTGAGTAGTGTTTAGTCTAAAAGTGAGTTCATTATATAAATACACTACTTTTGTAATCACAGAGCTGCCTTACAAATGTTAAAATCCATTTACAGATGAAGTCAGGATTATTAGCCCCCCTGAATTATTCGCCTGCCTGTTCATTTTTTCCCCAATTTCTGTTTAACAGAGAGAAGATTTCTTCAACACATTTCTAATCATAATAGTTTTAATAACTTATTTCTAATAACTGATTTATTTTATCTTTGCCATGATGACACTGAATAATATTTGACTAGATATTCTTCAAGACACTTCTATACAGCTTAAAGTGACGAGGTTCAATTAGGTTAACTAGGCAGGTTATTATAATTAGGCAAGTCATTTTATAATGATGGTAGACTATCTAAAAACATATTATGAACATTTCCTAAACATCATTTGGGAAATATAAAAAAATTATAATAATTTAAAGGGGGGCTAATAATTCTGACTTCAACTGTATATGCCAGCAAATAGGTTTTTACGAAAAATTTGCTATACTTTTTTACCTCAAAATTGCATTATATTCTGCTAAATCATTCTGTGAGCTGAACTAATAGGGAGCAAAATATATTTTAGGTTTATGAAAAGCCTAATATCAAGTCTGATTTCATTATAAAATTGTGTTTCCTAAATGTGTAGACACTTGCATAACTTTTGTATTACAAATTACACCTAATATGTGTATTTTGGTCTTTTATTGGTTCTCCAAACACATGCTCTTTCCAAAGATCATCAAAGAAAGACATTGTGAGCAGAACTGTTGTGT